ACCGGCATCAGTTTCCAAATTGTTGGCTAAAACTTTTGATGTCAATTATCCTATAAACTATATATTTAACGAGACAAATTTGGGTTTGACGCCGTCGATGATAGTAAAGAGAGAATTTGAGAATATAGAGAAAAAATTTCCGGATAAAAATTATTACATGGAATTATTGTCTAAAATCTTTGCGGATTTCAATCTACCACTTTTGTTGCTGCCGTATGCTTGTTATAAAGATGGACAGGTGTATTATAAGATGACTGCAGACAACTCATATTTCGGATTTCATAAACTGAAGATTCCAGATTGAATAAATTTATGAAAAACTTGTAAATGATGTTTCTTTCGTAACCGAAAATAATATGTCAATAGTGTTGTGACTGATAAACCTTTATTATCTAGATAATTGGGAATATTCTGGGTTTTCAAAAAGAAGTAGGTGGCTTTAAACTTTCTTAGATTAAAGTACAATTTCAAAGATTTTGCGAAATTATTGATAGTAATGGTAATAGGGCGGTAATTCCGGTACAATAATGCAAGATACGTTAATTTCCATTTTTCTGGAAAATTTTATGTTTTAGTAGGTATTAAACTAACTAGAAACGGAGCATAATCCCCAATACGAAACGCAGGAACACCTTCAGGACCACCTGTTAATAGTGGTTTAACAATATCTTGTCTAGTAAGATATAATAGTTATTTACATTACAAGCGGAGCAGAAGCACCACTACATAACAAGTATTATTATACTGAGAAAGATAGTGAAAATTGGCAAAATAGAGCTTAAAGCAGCACAAGTGGAAATTAAAATAAAAAAAGAAGTACAGAAAGGTATATGATGAGCTCCAAACTTATACCATTCAAATCGATCATGTGTTAGTAGAAAAATAGAAGAGAAAGTTTACAACAAATATGCAAAAATGAAGAACCAGACGAGACACGGACCATTTCTTAGTTGATAAGAGATGAAATAGAAAATCCCACGCCATAAGAACACAAGAATGAAGAATTAAAATGAAATCAGTTAAAATTAAGGACAGAGGAAGATTGAAAGAGCTATAGAGTAAATACGAAGACAGAAAAGTCATGAACATCTGTAATAGAGAAAGTTGATCAAACAGCACAACACTTTAAAGAAGAAACTTGTAGGAAGAAAAACGAGTGGTTCAATAAGGAATGCGAAAAAGAACTAGAATATAGGAAAGCATTACCGCTGAAAATTTTAAACGAGAAAAAAAAATTAACAACAAAGGAAAAAGGGCAAAATAATGAAAGGATAAAAGAAAAGGAAACACATGGATAATGTTATAAGTGAAATTGAAGAAATATCAAAAGTACACTTGATTAAACAAGAAAAGAAAAGGGTATCGGGTGAAAATGATAATATTTAAAAGAAGAACGAAAGAACAAGAGATAGTAGAAATATGGGAAAAGTATTTCGGAAAACTATTGAATAGAGCAGAAAATCAGTATAATTAAAATATGCAACACTAACGAAAATCCAAGAGATAATTGTGAAACTGAAAATTAACAAAAGCCCTGGCAGAATATGGTGACAGCATAACAACGTGATAAGAGTAATCACAACTTTCGCTGTTATAATTTATAACTCTCTTCATAATTTTTTGATCTAAAAAAAACACAAAAGACTGCTTTTGTTCGTTCATTTTAGTTATTATAAAATTACCTAATTTAAGTTGTTATACTCTGTACGCTCATTTGTGGCCACAAAATTTTATGGCTGATAATGATGTGGTTAGGATGAGACGGAAGATGGGTCATCGACAAAATTTATGGTTTATCAATGACAAACAAAAGTACTTTAAGTTATTACTACAAAAATCGTACGTAAATATTTGATTTAAATTAAAATATAAAATTAAAATTCTTCATCATTGAATTCTTCACCCAATTCAATTTCAGTATTTATTGTATCTAAATACGTAGGTATATGGTAAAACATAAAATGTTATGAGTGCACACTTATGGTTTATGAGTGTATAGATATGTCGATAACGTTATCACAAAATTTTCTTATGGAAAAAAATCACTTGAAAGAAACGCATGTTCCTTTACCTATACTTTAAATAACTTTATCCCAATTTTTAATTTAGTAATATGTGTATGTCTGTTTTAGAATGGAATGGACCCAGTGGAGCGATAGAAGTCGAAAATTAATAAATAAATCAGGAGCACCTGAAAACGTTTAATTATTATCTACACAGGAAGTGAAAGCGGTTTTGCAAAAATCTTTTTTCCTATATTGTACTCTACAGTATTAACTTGTTGCCATTGGGGCAAAAAACCGGCTATTTCCACAACGAAATACACACTACAAACAATTCCTCAAAGTCTGTGCTCGTGGTTGATGGAAAAAGTGATTGTTGTTGATCCGACGTAAACAAAACCACAATTGTATAAATTTGCAAAGGCTCTCAAGGACAAAAATCCTGTGTATAAATTATATCTACAGATGGCGGAATAAGGCCATCAAGTATTAATGTTACCTCCATACCACCCAGAATTCAATCCTGTCGATAAGATATGGGCGTCTGTTAAAAACTGAGTGGCTGCAGTCAATACGAACAAGGTTTGCACAAGTCACTCAACAAAATTAGGCAGACATTTGTCGTGATGTCGCAAGAACCGAGGACGATTACCTCGTAAAAGAACAAATGAAACACGCATTAGATGAATTTGAATTTAGAGGTTCGTCTGATGAAAGGGAATGTGAAACGTCTGTTGAAGAAGATGATCGAACGGGTAACGTTGAAATGCAAATCTGGCTAATGATAATCTAGGTACAGTGTTGGGGACAGATTGTTTTCATTTTTTCGAAATGTATCTGGATGATAGATACAAAAAAACAGGTACTTTTTGAAACTTTGGCCAATAAAACTACTAATAACAAGTTTTTACTTATTTGTTAATGAATTTTCGGTGAAACAGGTGCAGAAGAAGGAACTATTTTGTTAAATTTAAAAAATTAGCATTTCACAGCAGTAGTGATTCACATTCGATTACAAAACTAATTTGTACTAATTAAAAAAATAATCATTATGTATCACGCAATAATTTTTTTTAGAAATAAATATAGGTACCTTTAAAGAAATTTTTTACAATAAAAACTTACTTGTATTTAATATTATGGACAAATACCGGGAGATTTTTCAATTGAACACCCGTTCCATACAGCTTCCTGTCTATGCAGGTAAAATGTGTTGTCCCTACAAGCGTTTATCTTGTGAATTTTGGTTTATGGTATTTAAAATACCATCTTAGAATTACTAGACCTCACATTTATTACCTTTCAGGGTTATATTTAAAGATGAATAGTACTATTAGTACTGAACGCCACAGTACAGAAAATGGCTAAAATGATTAAATGGAGTATTAGTCATAGAACACTATTAGTGGACCTCTTATCTTTATTTTTGTCTATGGAACTACACCAACATGAAATGTCAAAATTAGTACTACAGCAACTAAACTACCTACTAAAAAAAAAGAACATAAAATATAAAAGATGTATCAGAATCTTTGGCATTTATTTTTTATCTAGGTAGATACAGATATCTTGTGCGTAAAATATGTATCTAGATATTTCATTTAGATACAAATATCTAGATAATGCCCAACACTGTCTAGGTATAAAACCTGTTTCTGATGAGGACTAGCATAAATGGGCTAGGGAATACAGTTAAGACGATTGTTTTTTTTTTCGAAAATAGCAACAATTAACCGAAAAATTAATTTTTTATTGATACAAACTAAAGTAGATCTGTTTCGAGTTCTTTAAGTCTCTTCAGTACATCATATCTGCGTATACAATCGTGGTCACAGAAATCTGATACAAAAACTTTTTTCACGTTTATTTTGTTGTAATTTGTTACTTTTAATCTGCCATTAATTTGTTTTCTTTTGCATGCGGTAGTCTTTTGCGATAACAGGGTCAAATTGTTAGTGTCGATTTACAAAACTTAAAATTTTAGTTACCTTATTGGAAATGCATTTAAAAGAAAATGAGTTTTGAATCAAAATATATAATTCTAATCTTTTATTTCAGATATACCTTTAATGGATGTATTAAGAACTGTATAATTAAAAGCTTGACAATTTTTTGCTGGATAGAATGAAATTAAAAGCCATTTGTTGAAGTTAAAAAACATAAACTTCCAAATACGCCACTGTTGTATATGCGAGGAATAACTCTGTTGAAGACAGTTCTGAAATGAAGACATAGATTTGAAAAATTTTTGAGTATCTGCAAACAGATGCAAAGTAGATTTAGGAGTGGGAGGTCAGTGGTGGACCAAATATTTACTATGCGGAAAATTCTAGTTGAAACTCGGGACTATAAAACTGAGACGTTTGTAGCCTTCATTGACTTCCAACACGTCTATGACAGAATAAAAAGGGATGCATTGTTAAATTGGGGGTTAAGAAAAAATAGCTGAAATTAACAAAAATGACTCCAGAAGGAACAACAGGTAAAGGAAGAGTAGATGGAGACAGAGAGAGAAATTTGACGTAAAAAGGAGTTGAGGCAGGGTGATCCCTTATCAGTTATCACCCCTGTTAGCTTAGCGCTAGAACGAAGGCCAAGCTAAGCGAAAGTGGTTTAATATAGCATAATCATTCCAATATAGGAAACCATGGACATTCTAATTTAGTTTGTTAATCTGTAAAAAATATGAAGTCATCAATATTTTTTTTAAATGGGAACGTATAATTTGGACTGCATTATTTGATAAAGCTTTTTTTTTGTGCACATGAAAATGTAGTTTAATGAAGGAGTTGCATAACCAAATTGTTGAGAAAATTAATAACAAACAAGCTGAACATGTTTTTAATGATAAATATTAATAAACAGAACGATACATTAAAGTAAAAATTTATTATACAAAAAAAACTCTTACATTCACATCGATACAGAATTTAGTAAAATGTCAGAAGATCTCGAATTAATACCTCTAACATTTTGATAATAAATTTTAGAACCATTTTTAGAGTTTACTGTAGAATACGGATACTTGCGTAGAAATATAGAGGTAGTTAAGCATTAATACATTAAAATAATTGTTTATTTAAGTGCAATATCATACCAACTTCTGTGACTAATAAAAATGATTACATACAGACAAATGCAATCAAGAAATGAATCAATCTATATTCAGCATTTTGAAACTACCATCTAACCCAAACACATCTTCGCACCATTGTGGCCTTACAATTCTTTTCGTTTCGTCCGATTTAAGAAGTTCTTGTTGTTTTAGCCACGAGTTAAACTCTCCACTAATTAATTCAATTAATTTGTCCATATGAGGTTTCATTTTTCCAGCGTTTCCACCGAACTCTTCTGGAGTCATATCTTTCGGGACATGATCAACGAGGGACTCCACATTCCGGTGCAAATATATCCGATTCCTTAGTTTTTGTTTAAGAAATGGAGATACAACTTTTAGGAGAGGATCTACAAGTGCCGGTGCATTAATTACATGAAATTGTTTAATTTTGTAAGCAAAGGCATTTTGGACTAGAGTGAGAAGCTTTTTGGCAAACGTCGGAGTAATTTGAGCAAAATGTTTATAACTGAAGAAACTTGCATCTACAATTTGGACTTCACCAGCCGCTTCAACATCTTCGCTTTTGAGATAAGCTTGGGCAATCATTATTACAAGTTTTAGAAATGTGATCAAATTAATATTATCTGGTTCTGAATCAACAACGCGAACAAAGTGTACTCGGTACCCTTCAGACGTGAGGCGAGGGCTCGTGTAGATTTGGCTAGAAAAAAAACTATATTAATATTCAAATAAAAATAAAAGTCGGTTTAAAACTTAGACGTTAACACTATTTTCAATTATCTTTTAGATATTTTTGTTTAAACTTCACTAAATTATATTTAAACTTTGAGTGGGCAGGTCTATGTACATAATATAAGCAACAAATAAAAAAATTTAAAATGTAGACAAACTTCGAATTACTTTTTTCACTAAATTGTCAAGAATAAGCATTCGTTTATCTACATATTTACTTACACGCCACGTAGACACTCTTGTAACTCCGGTCTTGTGATATCATAATCTGCAAAAATTTCCGGAAGTGCATGCTTGATACTAAAGAATTTGTCTAGTTTAGTTTTAGTTTTTTCCAGGGAAAAATTACAGTTGCGTAAATAAGCAAGTAACATTTCATCATCTAAAATAAAAAGAAATTAGCTGAAATAATTTTGGTCAGTTACCATTAAAAAAAAATTAAATAACGTGTGAGAAAACATGACTTGCCCCAGGTATCAGGCAAATGCGGCTGTTTTCTTAACCATTCCTTGATATTTTCGAGATCCTGATTTCTAGTTTCAACGTTCTCGTTGCATTTTGTTCTAATTAGCATTTGCAGTTGAGCGGAAGGCTTTTCCAAAATCATTCTGTTGACAAGAATATTTTTAACAGAGAACAGCACTTTATGGCCACTGTAGTCAACAATAACTGTTCGTTAAATTGTGTATAATAATGGTATAATAAGTACTTTTGTATAAAACATGCAAAACAAGTCCTAAAACAAAGTAATAAAATGTGAAATAAATTTAAATAAGTTATGTCACAAAGAATACGAAATGTATGATTTGACACTTTTAATTATAATTGTTTTACTTATCTTGTTTCCGTGACATGGGAACTAAGGTAGAAAACAGCAGTAATAAATTAATTTTCAATCAAGTCAGACATCGGAGTGTTATTTTAAGTTAATTGGAACCAGTTATGCGAAAAATATAACAAGTAACATGAAATATAATGACGTCTTATCAATATTCTTGGAATTAAAATGGCCTCGGCAAAATGCCTCGATTGTTAAGATACATACATACCTGGTTATTTAAATACCCACTATTTAGAATACCATTATTTAAGCTATATCTACCACTGGAATTAAAGCTAAATCTAGCAGCTTTTTTTGCTAATAAAACTGTCCGTTTCAGTAGTCAGAAGGTCAGTAGTTTTCATGTTATCATATCAGTTTTCATGTTAGCATATCATACAAAATGCCCTTGCACAATACTGTTTTATACTTTTTTTATTGTTACTAGAATTATTACAGCTAAAAATAATGGTGTGAACGATATGCATGCGCATTATTATCATTATCAGTTACGTCAGTAATGTCGACTTCAAGGGTATCGGTTATACTTTATTTTCAATTGTGTGTTTTACAATTACGTATTTATGGTTTGTAATAAAATTCCAATAACAAAAATTAAATAACATTTTGTTTTGACGCAAATCTCGTAAATAAAAACCAGTTCATAAGCACTTGGTAATAATAAGTTTTCTCAATACTCAATTTGTTGCATTTTACGAAGAAAATTTTACCTGCACTCTCGATTAAGCTGCATGAGTTGAAAAGCATCCAAACATTTTTGAACTACAGAATTATAGAAAAAAAAAGATTGTTTTCCATTTGCAGCTGATTTTAATACCTAAATGGGGCCAAAAAATTGGGAAATATATTGAAATTACTGTAATAAAAACAGCGTGAGTCGTTCAGCAAGAGTTTTTGAAAATCTCGTTAATTTATTAATGAAAATGAAAAAATTCAGAAATGAAAGTTAATACGTTTAAACGAGTCTGTTTTTGAAAATCTGATGCGACGTTGCCATGTTAATCCAATCAAATGTTTACCAATGAAAGAAATAAACAAAGGTAGAGCCATGTTGTGGGTTGTGGTATAAATCAGTAACTCACATTGAGTTGTAATGTACAGAGTGCCGAAAAAAATCTAAAATATTAGAGTATTCAAATATTGATTTTCAGTATTTTCCAAATAGAACACCCTATATTTTATTTTTGTATTTTACCCTATTTTCTTATTCTGTTTCGTTTTTATTTTCTCTATCTAAAGCTAATAGTTTCGCCAATTTTTCACTTTTTTTAAGAGACACATCGACAAAATAAAAAAAGAGTAAGATGCAGTAATGAAATGCAGACTGTTTTTATGGGAATAAGGGAAATATCGATATTGGAAACTTGTAAAATGTTTTTTGGCAAATATATATATATCCACTTATTTCTCCCCTTACAAAGCCTTATAATGAGAAATATGTAAAAATGTTATTATGTTACACCTCATAAAATTTGGAAATAAACGCTTAGCAGGCTTTATTTTGACTTATAAGCCTTATCACAAAAAACTAAAATAGGCAACATCAAATCTTAAAATTTTATTTTAGAAGTTTTGTCGAAATAACCTTCGACCATTTTTTTTCCTGTCTCTAATAATTAATGAGATATCGAGGATCGCGCGTTTAGTGACTCACCTTGTACATTAAAAGTTGTTCAGTCTTCAACAATAAATAATTAGCAACTGATTGGCATTGTCAGTTTTTGTCATTTTAATTAAGTATTATTAGTAGAGAGCGGAAAATATGCAGCAAAATTTTGGGAAATATGATCATATGATATGCATCAAATTTATGCAAATATGCAGTAACTTTTCTAACATATGCAGAGATATGCAGTTGCATATGCTCCAAAAATTAAAAAAAAAACCATAATAACCGAACTAAATTTATCTACAAATTACAAAAACAGGTTTCCCGAGCATACGTTTTATTACAAAAAATACATAAATCACATTTTTAAAGATAATATTGTTATACTAAAAAATAAATATAAACAGAACAAATTGAAAAATAGTGGTGATCGACTATTCAATTACTATTTTGGTAACAGTTTATTTTTAAATATTTTTCGAAATATTCTAACAAAAAATTTTTCCGATGATTCTAAAATATGCGTTTGTAAGTAGAAAAAGTGCGTACTACGTCCACAGATGTATAAAAATCCTTACCGGTTTAGAGCAGGCGCGACAAAACAGAGTTCCTTCTTGAAGAATAAGTTCAGGAAAAGGTTTAATTCATAAATAAAGTAGAGTTATCGTCGACATATTGACACACTGTATCGCTTTAAATGCTTTCAATGCAAACTCACGATGAAAAATAATAGGGTAACGTTCCGTCGACCACCATAAAACATACCATTAGGGTAAATGTGTACAAGAGTGCGAATATGTATAAGAGTACGCAGTGAAGATTTCTGCTTATTAGTGCCATCTGGGTAAGATGAAGTTATACCATTCAGAATTTAATGCTAAACCTGAGATAAAGGTGCAAAAGTGACCTGAATATAGTTTATAGTTTGGTCGTACTGACGATTTTATGTTCACACGTTGTGTGGATGTAATTTTTACCGCTCATAGTTTTAGTTTTTTGTAAGGTACGTACCAGTTCTTTTATTTTACACTAATAATTTTCGTTAGTTGTAACTCTTAAGGTCTCGTTATACACTAACAGTTTTATACTTTCTATCCATCAAAAGCTTTTAACTTTGAAAACATTAAGTTATGTACAAATGTACAAGAGTGCGCATTGCTTGCAATACGTAGTCTAATAGTCTTGGAGATACATATCATACGATAATGAATTATTTAACTCTACTACTTTGTGCTGCTTTTCAAGTTGTGTGGTGGTGGTTATGGTGATTTTTTTTTTATTTTTACTTCCTGAGCGTGTTGTAATCGAGTCCGTCGACCGACACTCTATTTTTACGTTTTCTCGACTTTTCAAGACCCCTAGAGTACAAAGAAATAGGTCTCCCGTTTTATGTGTAGTCTGTAGTCACTTATTCCCATTTATTTTCACCTTAGAAACAAATATTTTTTCATAAAATGTAATGCGCACTCATAAGCGTTCAAATGCGCACTCTTGTGCAATGAACTGTCTAAGAGTGCGCATTTACACATCTTGACAAAAATTGAAATTACTCTTAAAATATAGTGGTCTTGAGACGTACAATTAAATATATCTGATCTCTAAACATGTATATAACGAACCCATATCATAAAATTTATCTATCCAAAAAAATTAAAAAGTTGTTGACAGTTTTACACTAAGTGCGTACTCTTGTACACATTTACCCTAATACGCTTAAGTAACGAACAAAAATATTGGGAATGAACGGTATTAAACCCAAACCTCTACTAGTTATTTGAGGCTCAGGACAAAATTTGCAATATGATTAATAAAATTTAGTTTTTCTAGATAAATGCCGATAGAATGACAATTTTTTTTTTCAAATTAGCACAAAAATTGATAAAAATGCAAAATATGCACCCGTTACGTGAAATATGCAGCAGAAGGTAAATATATGCAAATATGCAATTTTTTTATAACTGTATTCATTTTTAATTAGCATGATTCGTTCACATATTAAATATCAAGACTTATATGCAAAAAATAACGGATATGCAAATTTCATAAAATCCGCTCTCTAATTATTAGATATGTGAAGTTATAATAGGTAGAGACAGAAAAATCTTTAAATATATGTAGATACGTCGTACATAGAATTGTTAATTACGGAATATTTGTTAATTTATCTTGACCCATACCTTCAAGCTATCTCTCTTACCACGTAGATTTCAGGCCTAGTTGCAAAATTCTGCTTTAGGCAGTGTTCTTCAACATTTTCTCGGTAAAATATTGTAAAAAATAGTTTGCTCGATAAAAACCGTATTCCTTGACATCCAACTGACGACTATGCAACCAAACATTCAAATTTTGTCGGGTATTAGGAACACGTATCGTAAAGAAGGAAAACCCACAAAAAAGCGGTGATGTAACAAATATTTCCGAAAGGAGGAAGACAACCAGACCTGCAGTTTTAATGGACTCATTGTATTGCACATAAAAATTAGTTTTATTAGTTTGTAATCTTAAAAAAAATGTCAAGTTCATGATTTTTCGATTTTTCGTAGATCCTATGATACGGAGAAGTTGTTTTAATAATAATAATATTAATAAATAGTTGATTTTATTTTCTACTAGTGTTGTTACCATTTACAAAAAATACAATTCACAGAAAATAACCTATAAACATTAGAAACCTATAACAGAAATAAAGGGACATTTCTTAGAGAATGTAACAATATTGATGTAAATTTATTTTAAGGGGAACGCTAGACGAGACACAAGTTTGAATTGGGCGCCATTTGTTGCCTTAAACGCAACCAGCAATTCCTCTTTTAATTTACCTGAGGCGCTGGGATCTCTGGCTGGGATAGACGACTACCGGAGGTGGGTCATAAAAGCGTCGTAAGCTGATAATGCAGAATAATGATAATTTATGACAGGCGGCCCACAACATACCTTCAGCACAGAATAATCATTTCTCGTATTCTTTTGACATATTAATTTTAATATTTGAGATAATTTTTATATTATTCAAACACAATTTAGACACTGTAGAGCAAACAAGGCCTATCAAACCCGTCTATTAGTTTATTCGCCTAAATGTTTTATTAATACCGTTTTCAAATTACACCAAAATTGAAAAATCGAAAACTTAAGAATTGAAAAATTGAAACATTTTAAATGAAAAAAATCGGTAAACCGAAAAATTTAAAAATCTATAATTCGAGAAATTGAACAATCTAAAAATTAAACAATTTAAAAATCGAAGAATTGGAAAATCAAAAAATCTAAACCGAGAACTTGAAAAATCGAATTATCGAGAAATCAAAACATCAAGGAAAACAAAAAAATTAACGGAAAATCTAGAACTTAAAAACTGAAAAATTAAAATACCTATCGAAAAATTGAAAAACCGAGAAATCAAAATATCAAAAAATGGAAAAATCTCAGAACTGAAATACTGAAAAACTGAAAAATGGAAGGAAAATTGAAAAATCGAAAAAGTGAGAAAATTCAAAAATGAAATCTTGAAAAACTGAAAAATGGAAAGAAAATTGAAGAATCGGAAAAGTGAAAAAATCCAAAACTGAAACATTGAAAAATCCAGAAATCGAAAAGTTGGAAAGTCACAATTGAAGAAAGAATTGAAAAATCAAGAAATAGAGAAATGGGAAAATCAAAAAATCAGTTAATCGAAAAATTGAAAAATCGAAAAATTTAGAAACG